AAACGCTCAAACCCGTCGATTTTTTTTTCGAGGGGGACACAAGTTCGGAAAAAAATCACGTTAGCATGTGCAGCTCCCTAAGCGGGGGTGACACCACCCCCAAAATCTTAAATGGAAAGGGGGGTCGAGTGATACCTTATTTTAAAGGTCTTTCAATTCCCTTTATAATGATATAAAATTAATGTACTTCAATCAGTAGTTTTGAAGATTTATTTATTTAAAGCTTAAATAAAACTAATACATCATCATTAGTGGAGATCAGTACATTTGGCAGCAAAGTAATTTAAAAATGAAGAATGAACTGACCCGTTAGGCAAGTAAATGTTGAAAATGACCACCATGACTCTCCATGAAATAATAAAGATTTTGCTCAAAACGTTGCCGTACATTTTGCAATATTTAAGGAGAAATTTGAAGGCACTCATTCACAATTCTTTGTCGCAGGTCTTCTAATGATGTTGGCTGAGTAGCATAGATTTTGCTTTTTAAATGACCCCACATAAAGAAATCCAAAGGTGATAAATCTGGCGATCTTGGGGGCCATTCAATGGCACCTCTTCTACCAATACATCGATCTGGAAACGTCTGATCTAAATATTGTCGAATACGTAATGCGTAATGTGGTGGGGCACCATCCTGTTGGAACATCAACCTATTCGCAATGTACCGCCGATCATGCTGATTTTCAATTAAGGCTGTTAATGCAGGATCTATGGCGTCTTCCAGTAATTCCAAATACATTTCAACGGTCAAATTTCCATTTAAGAAAAAAGGACCAACTAAATGATCGCCAAAACTACCAGCCCAAACATTTAATTTTTGTGGCTGCTGTGTATGAACCTCATGATAAATTCTGGGTTTAGAATCGGACCAATATCGGCAGTTATGACGATTTACTACGCCATTTAAGAAAAAGCAACATTCGTCGGAAGAGCAAGTGTTGAATAGAAAATGTTCATCGTTTATAATTCGTTCACTCATATCTTCACAAAATTGTAATCGCCGATCAAAATCGTCTTCATTAAGTTCTTGTACCAGGTGAATTTTATACGGATGAAATCTATGGGCCTTTAGAATCCGTTGGACAGTACGTCGACTAACACCACACACAGTCTCTTATTTGCGGGTACTTAACCTAGGATCTACATAAACTTGCCCTAAAACCCCCACTTCTATTGCTTCGTTCCTTATAGGATTTTCAATGTTGCGTTTTTTATTGGCGACTGACCCAGTTTCCCGAAATTCAGCTACGAGTTCTAGAACATATTTTCGATGCACGTTACTGTTCTCATGTCGCTCATTAAATATTTCTGCTGTTCTATTAGCGCACTGATTAGTTCCGAAAAATATTTCGATAATTTCAACTCTTTCTGCTGTGGAATATACCATGGTTAATTTATGTAATAAAGCGTTATAAGTTATTTTAGCAACAAAGTTTGGTCAAATCAATAGCAAACTATGTACTAAATTCCTATTTAAAATAAGTACAAGATATTTCCTCAAGAAACAACATTTTTGCCACAAAAAAACGCTCCAATAGCTATTTTCAACAACGAAATGATAAACAAACCATGGGCGTAGTGAAGAAAAGCATTTACTTATTAAGTAAACTCTTTTAGTCACATTTCTTCTGAAAGTACTACAAACTAATCTGATGTACCTACTAAAGTCTACTTTAAGCTTTAAATCAATAAATCTTCAAAACTACTAAACTGAAGCTCATGTATTTTAAAATCATTATAAAGGGAATTGAAAGACCTTTAAAATAAGGTATCACTCGACCCCCCTTTCCATTTAAGATTTTAGGGTTTGTGTCACCCCCGCCCAGGGAGCTGCACGTGTTAACGTAATTTTTTGCCAAACTTGTGTCCCTCTCGAAAATAAAATCCACGGGTCTGAGCGTTTTTCCAAAAAAAAATGAGCTGCCAGTAAATGCGTCTGTTTCGTTTTCGATGCGCCACCCTGTATTTATCCACTATCAAGCCACATATACTAAGTGACATAGAAAACCCATCAGATTTTCAACCATATAAATGAAGTTGTTTGGTGATATCGTCAGTTCTTACAAAAAAGTAAGTATACGATATTTGTTTTATGTAACCACAAAAGATTTAAGTTTGAGCGAATAACCAAATGAAAATAGTATTTACCATTTTGATTGGTATTAACCGATCCGTTCAAGCGAGTGTGGTTATCAGTTTGGTTATAAGATCCGTGACGTCATCAATCAGCTGTTATATGTCATAGTTATCATCGTAACCTTGTGGTATTTACACAATTCCGGAGTAGTTTTATATTTATGGTTATTATTAGAAATGTGACAAGTTAGGATTTTGGCGGGTATTGGATATTTTTTTTTGTACTTCAGCTTCATTTTTGGGAAACTTGATACAGGCTGACTTCAGTTGTAGCATAAAGTAGAGCATCTTATTAGATAGATATACTCATTGCTGTTGTTGGGGATACTTTAAATCTACTTACTAGGTTTGACAAAGTATCCTGTGTTGCCATATACCATAAGAATATTAGAATATGGTCAAATAAACTCACTGGATAATGTCCACTGTCCACTGTATACAGTTTTGCTAATCTCTTTTTTATCGCTTTTTCCTATCATTTCTGTTAAAACAATAAATGTTTTATTTCACATGCGGAAAAGTTTAGAGAATTGAAAGTTATCATAGCTACAAAGCCATGGTTCCACCATTAAAATTTTGGGCAACAAATCTTTTATTTTCACGACAAACTTGTTTAAAAATGAGGAATTTTCTCAAGTGATTTAACACCTGAACAATATCTTCTGAGAAAAAAATGTCTCCCATTAATATTATGAAAGGTTTCTTTTTTAAACTTTCCATAACCCCATTGTAGCACCGATTATCAAGCGATAATAAAAACATTCAGAAATTATATACCCGCTTTTCTAAAATAAACAACTTGCAACAAAACCGGGGTTAAAACCAACACGTTCAAGCGATTCGAGTAGCTGACGTCATCAACTTCTGTGTCATCTTAAACTATATTATAACCGCGGTAGATAACACAGAAATTTTGGTTATTCGCTTGGATTTGATTATGGTTTTGATCTACGTTCAATATGTTGTGAAGAGCTGCTGTAGTTCATTTTGCCTAGAGTGAGAAGACGAGAAAATTTTATACAGTTTAGCGAGTTTGATACGGGCGAATAGAGCGCTTGTGTCAGGCTGGTTGGTTTTTTACAGAAACAGCCTCCAGGGTACACAGAACTCTAAATACGGAAGTAGTTTTGTTTTCGGACATGGAACCGATCTACAAGACCAGGTAAGTCCAGATCAATGGTTTGGAGATCACAGACAGTCTATAACATTGCGAATTGGATCAAAAGTTTTGGACTTACACCATACTGTCCTCAGTTCGTCCTGCCATTCACTCCTGAGCACCGAAGTGATCGACTGAATTGTTGTAGAGAACCGCTGAACTGGGAACGTCCAACAGAATAATCAGTGTCAAGATGGCCTTGCAAGGGTAAGAAGGCGATCAGGTCAAATAGAGATTCTCAATTTTCTATGTAAACGCATATGCGCCGTACCCCTGAAATTATGGTATCGGGGTCTATTGCTCATAGAAGCAAGTACCTTTAGCGAGAGGAAACATGACCGTCGTCCCGGGAGGATAGGGAACCACATGTTTTGCCTTAGATAGAAACGCTCACCAACCCAGGTTTCCTACAAGATAATGCGATATAGTCAGAATTTTGAAAATAATCAAATCGATTTGTTGCATTCGCCCCTGGGTCTCCCGGTCTTTCACCTATTGAACACGTCTGAGACATTATGGGAATAATATTACTCCGTTCACGCCATCCTCCACAGACTCCAATGGCACATGAGGTTCAAGTAGCCTGAGATGAGGTACCTCAAGAGGAAACCGAGCAATGTTTGAGTACATAAGACCCAACAAATTATTAATTTTGTACATGTTTTCCAAAGGTTGGATTTTTCTAAGATTTTGACCAATTACCTAACCCTAAGAGGCATGTACACAAAACATTGTTGTAATAAATTCAGTATTACTGGGTGTTCCTTTTTGTATGTCAGTATATTTCAAAAGCTAGAAGGGGATTTTCTGTAAATTTGAGGTAGAACTTGCTCTTCAACTGCATACACCGGAAGAACTTGTAAGTGACGTTCTTTTTCTCAAATCCACATTTATACTGGTTGAAAATTATCTCTAGAATAGTTTTTATTTGGCAACGGTGCCTCTGAACGAAATACTAATGGAGGCTGTCCGTAATTATAGTCAATTTGACTTTAAGGTATTGATACTAATTTTTTGCAAAAGTAACAGACTGTTTTTTCACCAAAGATAAAGACCTGTTGGCATGAATGCCTCTGATGTAAATGCTTAAAAAAAGCATATACGCGTTAGTGTAACCGTTGACCACAAACTACGAAATATGGACAAGCATGTATATATAAAAGCTTCATATTTTAACATGCTATTAATTTTCATCTGGTTACATTCTGTAACACCCTGAGTGGTGTTCAAAAAAGTTTTACGTATTTTCGAGGTAATCTGCTGATCTGAACAAAACATTGTTAATCATAAATATCGCAAAGGGAAATAATAATAGTCATAATTCCAGTTGCCGATACTCTTATCAAATGTGTTACCATATTATTTGATGACCCTCGCACAATGAAAAAATACTATAAATATACTTTGATTTATAAGTCTCTCTTACTAGTAAGTACGTTATTACTATGCAACGTGACATCAGTCACAGTTTATAATTTATTATACTGACACAAATGTACACAGAAGTCAAGCAAATACATCAGTGACGCCACTTGGCTGTTTTTTCACACATTAGTTTTTAATCGCAATGAAGGTCAGACTTACCGTACTTTCCATTCACATATTCTAAAAACTCATCTGAAACAACAAAAAAAACTTTTTAATTCCTACGAATGTGATGAGGTCTAGCTCCGAGGTTTCCAGCTGAAACATTCCGAATACTATGTCGCTGTCGCCTACGACAGCGCTTCGTGTTGGATACAAATCACCGGAATACTTCCAAAGCAGTGTGCGTAGCTGTAAACCTCAGTCGTCAATAGATTACTATCGCTGTCGTTGTATTAAGACAATGACATAAGTTAAAACGTGCTCTTTGTAAATGGTACAGACAGACAGTTTTGAGCAGTCACCGCATTGCGGGTAGGTATACAAAAATTAGGTTTAGAACAGACGTACACAATTATTAGATCTAGAGGGCTTACTACCCCTCGTACTTATTCAACAGCTTTATACGAAAGAAGTTCAGTTATCTCACGAGTTTATGGGACTGAGTAACTTCACATTCAAGAAGACAACGAAATCTTTGACGATAGCAAGAACTAATATTATACATTAATTTTTATCGTATATATAATGACTCACTTGAACATGTAGCCCACTTATAACATTTGTAGGTACCTTTTATCTAAGGCTGAGTGGAAGAATAGACACTGTGAATTCCGCCTTTTGGTTAATAAAGACATACATATTATTATTCTTATCATTACATAATTTGTGACGTAAATATTAAAAGTCATACTACAATAACATGATTATCCTTGTAAGTTGCAGTAACTATACGTATACAGTCAGTCAAGTATCTCCGCATCCGCATGAAAAAATATCTGATTCAATAAGGACCCTTTTTCGCGTCATAAGCTGATTGATTTTTTTTAAACAAATTCCGAAAGTTCTGTTTGAAGAATATTTGGGAACTTTGATTAAAATTTTCATATTAGGTTTTAAGGTCGAAAATGGCATAATTTGTGCTTTTTCAAATAGTACCTCGCTTATATCTCGGAAAATATCAGCTTTAGAAAAAAGTTCGCGAAAACATTTATTGTTCAGAAAGATCCAAAAAATCTACTGCTGACGGCGTTGCATGGTAAATGCAGAGTCTAACTACTTGACGTCATTTTTTGTAAGACATTCACCTTTTAAATATATGTACGTTATTTTGTTTTTACGGACCATCAAGTTTATTTGAAAGATTTGTTCACCTTTCCTGTAGGCCTATAAAAACAGCACTTAATGAGCGTATGAGGCCTAATGAGAGATATTCTGGTAAAAAATAACACGGAACACTGTGAAGAAAACAGCAATTAGAGCACTTGCCAGTTTAAAGAATACCTATTTTTATATTTAGAACAGTGTTTTGGCTATTATAGATACAACAAATTGTCGGTAATGTTGAATACCGCATCTGTCTTTGTGTCTTTCCCACACTACTATCCGCACTTGAGATGATTTTGTTCATAGACGATATGTGAAATGTATTTTATTTATTCAGTAATGTACATTCAGAGATGTTCTACAGATAGTAGAGTCAATCGAATTATCTATCTATGTGTGTAATTTTCCTACCGAACGAATCTGAACTAAGACTAAACAAATTCATTTCGATCGCTAAAGCGAAGAAAACCATAGTTTCTTCGACGCCTAAAAATGTGAAACAATTCGCTGCAACTAGCATCTCTCTGAGGTACATGAAAATATATCTATGATAACAGAAAGGCACAATCTATGTAATTATCAATCAGCTTGAACAGGAATTTGTATTGTAAAAACGATACCAATGAACACGACTCTAAACAGACCGTGCAGTCTACGTAAATCAAAATGTTCATCATTTGTTACCCTGCCAAGCAAACATCACAATAAGGTTAGCCTAGAATACTTCTAGAGAAAGGCAATCTCAAAAGTAATGGTTTTTGGATTTTTTTCTAAATTAAATCGCTTTTAAATCGAACACGGTCAATTTTAGGCGAAAGAATATTTTTTGTTCAGAATATTCCGAAAAACCAAAAAAACTGTATCCATAGCGAAAAACACAATTTTTCAGTTTGTTTAAAAGTGATTTAAATAAATTTGTACAAGCCCGGCGACCTGTTGATTCATATTAGAGTGCATCCAACAAACGTGATCATGAAAAAAGTCGAGTTGAAATTCCTTTACAAAAAAATGTTTCTTTCGCTTTGGCCTAAGTTGCTTTATACTTTTTGATTTATTCTGAAAGAAAAGATTCTTTTTTATTTTTCTAATGCTGATGAGTTTAGAATTTTAATCGATTTAATGTTTGAAGTAACCTATAATAACGATCAAAGTTGCTTTAGGGTTTCTGGAGTATTTTGAACAAAAAAAGATCCCTAGTAACTTTTCTGTAAAGTTTACAATTTTCGAGTTTAATGTCAGAAAAATCCTGAAAACGGCCATCTTCAATATTCAAGCCCTTGATTAAAAATAGTGTGTGCCTAAATCAGAGTTCAAACCTTCCATTACCCTTAAGAGTATTTTAGACTTTATTTTTAAGCAATGTCTAATAACTTTCGCACAAATAATAAAAATTATTTGAAGCTACAGTCAACTAAGAAGCAATCAATGCCGCTACAAAAAATAATAGCTGTTCGATGATTAAATGACAGGTGATGTCTTCACTGTAACTGCATGTCCGTTTACGCAGAAAAAAATTGTATTTTCTAAATAAATCGTCTTTTGTTTCATATACGAAGTTTTGCTTAACATTGCTTATCGGAAAAGGTACAGAAATAACAAAATACTACAAATAAACTACATCCAAAGTTAGTTTGTAAATTATCTGCTAACATAGCTGAAAATCTTCACATTAAAGTGCCCCATGGAAATTTCGTAGTGTCCCCTTCAATACAATCTATGCTGCACAATTATTACATTTGCAGAAATAATATTGCCATTCGCATTTTCATATTCATTGTTTTTCATAAAGGTCTCGAATAATGATGTGAGATTTCAGCTGTCAAATTTACGTTAAAATAAAGTATCTGTGAGTTCATTTTATCACTCCGAATTCTAGCTTGTTAACTTGACCCATTCAAAAAGCAATTAAGGGAGCGTTATAAAAAGTACTATACTGTAGATCTTGTTGAGAGTTGGTAGTTGTGTCTACCAAAAGTATCTACGCACTTGAGTTTGATTTCCCACAGACAAAGGAGCGAAATATTGTAACCGCAATGATTTTTTGGTTTCAGAAGAAGTTTTTTGGATGATTCAGGATGTTTACATCCCGAAAATTCTTCTCTGTCTATACTTTTGTTTGCCTGCATGCTATCTATTTTTTTGCCCACTGCTGGGCAGGAATTGCAACCGCTTCACCAACATACCTAGGTTGAATTGACTAATATCCTTCAAGGACATTATCTTCTACATCCTGGCAAATAGAATTGAAATAGGTAAGTTTTGCAATGACTTTTTGGTGTGTTTAAACCTGTCGTGAACACATTTACATCTTTTACGGGAGGACAAAATATTATATTACCATCAAATGTATTTGTATTACCCTATACAGAAAATCAGTTTCTTTGAAATATGTTGTCGAAAATGGTCGAGACACGTTTAACTATTTAGTTAAGTATTCATTAGAGGAACCAAGTCCTTCCACACCGGAAGCTGCTCAATGCATATGTCCATACCCACCCCTTACACAATACCTCTACACATCAGTTACCAACATAATTGTTGTATACTAAACGAAGAAGGTCCGAAGGTTACTGGATAGTTGATTACACTTCGAGGATAAGCACATCTTGCTTTTGGACTAATTCTTGGTTAATTCAGAACGCGAGATGCAGTCTTCGTTGGTTTAGAACCTCAAAAGATCATTTTGAGCATTTATAACGGTTTATGACGATGACATATGGAAATGGTACACTAGGTAAGCAAACAATTTCACAAAAGTTGTGATTTTTTTTAATCAATACTGTTAAAAATCGAAATGAGAGACGTATAAAATATTGAATATGAAATAATTCTAATCTATAAAGAATAATGTGATAGTGTAGCAGTAAGAAATAGGTGCTTCTTAAGCCTTCATTGTAAAAAACACCAAACAGTCACATCGCGCCATTTAGCGGTTTCCATACACTTTTCTTAACATAAATTTGAATAAAATGGACTTAGTTTATCGGAAAAGTCAACTTTTTTCGACTTGCCTCTGTGTTTTGCTTAAACGGACGACTAATGGAATGTTACATCAATACTGCTTAACGTGAGTTTAGATGTAAACCAAGTTTGATTTGAAGATTTCTGATGCGCGACTACTTAGTACTCACAGTTACAGAGACGGAAAGCAAACATGTCCATGTTAGACTATTTATTTGAGCATTTTAACAGTGAGTAGATCTGATCAAAAGAAATGTTTTTTCCTTTACCATTTTTCTGGTAAAATTAAAGTAACAAAGTTATAGCCCTTTGGAAGTTTGAGTACCGCCCTGTCTCAATAATAATATTATGTGCTCGTGTTTGGCAACAACGGATATAATCCGCCTTATCGGTTCATCGCATCGGAAACAAAAAAGCGAAAGAATTTGGAACGATGTTTTTAGAATTATTTTATTCAGTTGTATACAGTCAGTGTCAGTCGGTAACGCGTGAGTGAATAGTGGTGTCTGTTGCGTGGCTCAAACGAAATAAAAAATGGCACATGTTTATGCGGATCGGTTTCCCAATCGAGTGCAACCAACCCCTCGTGCCTTTGTTAATGTAGTACAACGGGCTCGTGAATCAGGTGACTTAAGACCTCACAGGGGACGGGATGCCGGTGCTCCAAGACCTCACGATCAAATACAGGTCCGCACTGAAATACTTGTCGGGAGGATACTTTATAAAACAAGGTAATTTTTTTTTTTTTTTATTTTTACACACATATTTTGGTTTATCTTCCTTCTACAATCATTATCTGAAAATTAATGACTCAACTTCAAAGTGCATAGAAAGCCACTGCTGATTTGCTTATGGTTACTCTATTCCGACTCCTTGGAGGTTGGTGCGACGACTATCGGTGCATAGCGCAGAACGTTGAGTAGAGCTAGTAACGTAGGGGTCTTCTGTCATCTTGATCGTATGGGATGAGAATGAAAATCAGTTTGAAAAAATATTGGTAGGTGGCGATCATCAGATTTTCACCTACTTGCGTACAAGATAATCGCTTTCCTAGAATGATTATCAACGGAAAAAACTATTTCAAAGAGTCTAATGATAATTTTTCTTGTTCAGTTTTAAATATCCTGCGTGAAAATAAGCTGGAATTTGAATTCCCCAACGATTTATAAAAATGGTATATTTGTAAATTCTATTCAAAACTAAAATTACTATGCTTTTCAGGAGCAACAGTGCTTCAGTAGCAAACCTTTCTTCATTTGTAGTAACAGAATCCGTTTATTATTTTCGATTATATTCCTATATTTGGCAACGATATTTATAAACAGTGACTTTTGATGGCCACTAAAGCCTGATCTACGCTTTTGTCTTTAGACTTTCCATTTCCCCAGAAAAGACACACGAATACTAGAGAAAAACCGATTTCTTTAAACAGTAGTCACCATGGGTCGTTAAGTCTAACTTCACTTTGATGTTTGGCGGATTGTGAAACCACGTGAAATGATGGGTTATATTTCGTCTTTATGACAAAATTTGGCTGAACTATACTTTAGCGCGTATCGCAAATATTTCATTTCTTATTTTAAAATGAAAGTTTAGAGTGTAACTTGCACGAAAATATCATTATTTTCTTTAAGAAACCCTCTGCTTGCTATTTTATAGAACTTCAAGGTTGTATTTTGGGTAGTAATACTGTGGTATAGAATACTGCTTTTTTTTCGTGCATACACAAAATTATATGAACATAACATACACTGTAAATTACTGTGACACTGTTCATCGCAATTTTGCACTATGTTAATGATTAAAATAGTTCATTGTTATGTAGTTATTTTTTTTTTCAGATAAATATTCCCATCACTACACCACCATCACTATCATACCCTCTCCATCTAGTCGACGTTGCCAAATCATGGATAGTAAAATACCTTAATTTGGTTTGTCAAATTCTTACTCGTGCCCTACGATGGCGTTAGCTAAAGACGCGTTTTTGAAGAATGCCTTATGCCCTTCACAAAAGTACTTTGGATATTGTTTTTCCTATATTATAGTTATAATCTATTTACTTTTTGTATGTATGTACTTGAAGAATTATTTAAAGTGAAGCTGATGTCACCAAATGAACCTAATTAAATGTGATATATATATACAGGGTGTTTCAGTTTATTGTTGCATAACTTTAAGATTCGATAGAACTTTTAAAATTAATGCATAAAGTCTATATAAACATGGGTCGAAAAATGCGTGGTTTCCGAAATAAATTTACTTTCTAAAATAGTTTTTTTTTGAATATTTCGAACAATATTTGATGTATAATAGTGAAAATTGGTGTACAAGGGTTTTTTGGTACGATAAAACGAACCATGGGCATAGTTTTACTGTAGCCGCTAGAGGGCGTTCTCTACTGTACCTGTAGTGTATAAAAATGACCGAAAAATTTTTCTTAGTACAATTTTTTGCTTTTTGAATAAAAAAACTGATTCTTCGCACTTTTCAACATAAAAAGCTCTCTTGTGAATTTTCGTTATAGTCAGCCGTTTTTGAGATATTTCGATTTTTAAGGTTAGATGCATTTTTAATTATTTATGATAAAATAACGTTAAAAAGTCCGTATCTCGATAATTTTTAGAAGTAGGCTGTGCCTGCAAATATTTTTGAAATTGAAAGCAGAATAAGGTTAAACGTCAATTAGTTGACAGTTAGTTTTGTCGTCTGTTGAAACCTGAAACGTTTTTTTGCAATTGTGAATGCACGAAATTTAGTTTCTTTTACCTCTTATTTATTTGTAAGTTTTTTAAAAATGCCATTTTTATTCTCCAATCAAGAGTTAGCGGATATTCATTTTGTGTATGGCTTTGTAAATGGAAACGCAGCAGAAGCAGCCAGAGAATACGCACGAAGATTTCCAAACAGACGACATCCAACTCGCTCAGTATTTGTATGAGTGCATCGCCAAATAATTGAAAATGATTTTGGAAATCTCCAAAGGGATCAAAACATAAATGTTCGTCAGCGCAGATTAACCCGTATGATTCTGCGTGAGTTTGATAGAGATCCGACCACAAGTGTTAGGAGAGTTTCTGGTGCCTTGGGAATTTCAGCAAGCCATGTTCACCGTGTTTTTAGAAATGACCATAGACGTCCTTACCATTTGCAACCTGTGCAAGGACTACAGCCAGGGGACGGAGAACGAAGAATCACATTTTGTCAGTTTTTAAGTAACGTTTTATGAACCGATGAGTCATGCTTCACTGGACGTGGAGTGGTAAATTTTCATAATCAACATATTTGGTCGCATGAAAATCCGCATGCAGTTCGGGAAAGAAATTTTCAGCATGAATTTAGTGTGCACGTGTGGATTGGTATCTACCGTAATCGACTATTTGGACCCTACCTTTTGCCTGCAAGGTTAAATGCTGCGACCTTCTTGGATTTTTTAAAGGCTGAACATGAAAATATGTGGGATGATGTTATGTTATATTTAAGAAGATTGGCCTGGTTCCAGCTTGATGGTTGTCCAGCTCATTATTCGAGAATAGTTAGAAACTGGCCGGACCAAAATTATGCAGAAAGATGGATCAGCCGTGGAGGACCAGTCGCCTGGCCTCCACGATCCCCTGACCTAAATCCATTAGATTTCTTTGTGCGGGGATTTCTAAAATAAAAGTGTACCAGACTCCCGTAACCACAAGAGATATGCTAATAGACAGAATCAGGAATGCATGTGATGAAATAAGGCCTTATTTGAATAATGCTATACCACGTTCGATCATTCGTAGATGTCAATTGTGTATTGAACAATTGGGTTTACATTTCGAGCAACTACTTTAGATTTTGTATGTTTGTCCTAACTATGCAATAGCATTTTAGTTGTAAATAATTAATTTAATTTGTTAAAAATAATATTGGAAAATTAAACAAATTAATATTCTGTCTTTTTGTGTTTATTTGGAAATTATTGCTGTGTTTAAAAATCTAAACGACCATCTTAATTACTTGTAATGCCCAAAATCAAAAATGTAAAAAAAATATTATTTTCCCATAAATAATTAAAAATGCATCGAACCTTAAAAATCGAAATATCTCAAAAACGGCTAACTATAACGAAAACTCACAGGAGAGCTTTTTTATGTTGAAAATTGCGAAGAATCAGTTTTTTTATTCAAAAAGCAAAAAATTGTACTAAGAAAAAATTTTCGGTCATTTTAATACACTACAGGTACAGTAGAGAGCGCCCTCTAGCGGCTACAGTAAAACTATGACCATGGTTCGTTTTGTCGTACCAAAAAACCCTTGTATACCAATTTTCACTGTTATACACCAAATATTGTTCGAAATATTTAAAAAAAACTATTTTAGAAAGTAAATTTTTACACCCTGTATTTCGGAAGCCACGCATTTTTCGACCCATGTTTATATAGACTTTATGCATTAATTTTGAAAGTTCTATCGAATCTTAAAGTTATGCAACAATAAACTGAAACACCCTGTATATATATATATATATATATATATATATATATATGTGTATAAGGAATAACTGAAAAAGTAGCTGTTGCCAATCACTAAGTAATAAAAACATAATAAAGACCATTGCAAATTTTTTGATGTTTTGATGAAATGGTCGTTGATCTTTATTTAATTACGAGCCCCTTCCCACATCAGTTGGCCCACTTCAAGATTTGTACCAATATATGCCTTTATAAACTAAACATGACGAAACTATTTACTTCTAAAACAGTTTATTTTCTCAAAAACATTTTAGATACACTCTAGTCGTAAAAAATACATATTATTTGAAATCACTTAGACCTATAACTAATAGAACATCTGAACAAATAAAAAATGTGCGAATAAATGCGCGAAGTTAACAAAGCAACCATTGGGTAACATCACCTTTATTTTTCATTACGGCTGAAATTCTTTGGGGCATAGTGTTAACCAAGTTTTGGCAAAAATTTTGGTGTAAAACAATCCCATATTTCTTGAAGTTTTTGTCTCAGTTCAGTGATTCTACTAGCAGGATGTTGTCGTAGAACCTTTTTCAACTCGTGCCACAAAGTTTCAATAGGTGACAGATCTGGACTGCTAGAAACCCATTTCAAAAGTGGTACATTATTTTCTTCCATCCATTTTATAGCCTTTTTGATGTATGGCACGCTGCACCATCTTGCTGAAACACAAAATCTTGGCCGGATGTCAAACATTCTTCCATCACTGGTAAAAGCGATTCTATTAAAATTGCCAAATATTTGTTTGTATCCACATTTCCATCAATAAAATGAAGTTTTCCTACTACTTTTGATGACATACTGCCCCAGACCATAATGGATGCTGGAAATTTCACTTTTCTCTTCAGACAGTCAACATGGAATGCTTCATTTTTTTGCGAATAACTGTGCTGCGACTGTCACCAACACAAACTTCGAATCGGGCCTCATCACTCCATTGTATTGCACACCATTGTTGAGGTGTCCATTGTCTATGTTCTTTAGCCCATCTAAGAGGATTTTTCTTTTGCAGTGGAGTTAATAGTGGCTTTTCTTTGGCCTATAAACAAGTTGTGCTACTTTAGAGTTTTTACTTCACTTTTTTTTATAAGAAAACTTACCTTGCAAGTGCTAAATCCCAGTTTGTGGGCCTCTCTATGAGTTGTGGACCACTAAATTCTCCTTCTAACAGCGTCACTCTACAGAGCATTTAATTGTAAATAATTGGCACGCCTGTTTTTCACGATTATTCTTCTTAATGCTCTTCGGTCGGCATTTGTGATATTACTTTTTTTCACATATCGTGGCTTAATATTAACTAAACCAGTTACGTTATATCTTCTAACAATATTTCTCACACTGTACGGTGATAAGTCTAACAAAGTTGCAATTTCTGAGTTTGATTTCCCAGAATTAAAAAATTTAATTATCAGTAACCGAATTTTCTCACTAATAACCTTTCCTCTACCCATTTTGAAAACCTTAACTACCCAAAACTATTTTAAACGTATTCTGACAGCTGTGATTAATAAAAACAATTGTCATGGCTTTTATTTCTCACAGCCACCTATGCGTTATAGACTTAGTTTGCATTGAAATGAAAATAGGTTAATATGCTGTAATTGCAACATGTGTTATTTTTATGCTGATAGTTTGATTAGGGAGTGATAAAGTTGGTGTTTTCTACTATATATTATCAAAATATTCATTGTTAATATTTTAAACCTACAACACCCTGCTACATTTTTATTATTTGTGTTTGATAAGAGAAAAACTAAGATTTCAATAGTTGGCCCAACTGAAGTGGGAAGAGGCGCGTATAATGTTGGACGATGATATGTTGGGTGGACCTGGCGAGGAGGTCCAAATACGAATCGAAGTTGAGTATTTTTATATGCAACGACCGCTGGTACCTTTTGTATTTTTTATGTCACGCACGTCGCTGGTGCATTTTCCACTGTTTAGACACGTACTGTTCAAAATTTCATCTGGTTTTCAGTAAATATTGGGACAACTCTCATAAAAAAACCCATTAACCATAAATTAACTTTTATTTTGCAAATAACCTCATTTTTTATTACGTATTTCTCCCAAAAAGGATACAACTTGGCAACAATGGACATCATTTATCTTATTTGTCAAGAAATGTACGTTATAAAATGGCCATTGAGAATTGTTCCTACTTTCAAATATTTCTTATTAACGCAGAAACTTTGATCTCATTTCTATAAAATACGCGAAAAAAATGGTTAAGGAATTTGAAGAAGACATTAAAAAATCACAACACAACACCTCTACACAGTTTACCAAGTAAATACCATCATTTACCTATGTATTTTGAATTGTTGTTTTAGCTAATAAGCTAATGTGTAATAACCCGGCTGGTTTTGAACCTTTTTTTTGCAAAAAAACAACGATTTTTACAGTTTCACATCTATTTTCCTTAGTACATACAGTGTATGTTATATTCTTATAATTTAGAGCATCCTTTTATGCAAAAAGCAAAAAAGACAGCGTATAAAACAGTATTGTATTCTAGAGTATTACCACCAACAATGCATCTTTGACGTTCTATAAAATAGCAAGCAGAGGGTTCCTTAAAAAAAAATTATATTTTCGTAAAAGTTACATCATAATCCTTCATTTTAAACAAAGAAATGGAGTATTTGCGATTTGCGCTAAAGTATAGTCTCACCCAAAATTTTGCCATCGATATCGTTTCTGATGGTGCAACTGCAGAAATTGAACATTCAAATCATGGTTAAATAAAGCTTCGGTCAAATTCAATGTTGGTGCAAGAATTATGCAAGTTTGCCGACCAGACATTCTTGCTGCATTCAGTTGGATACCGTGGCGTGAGCGTACAAGTTGAGGTTATACATCTGCATTGTTCCGAAATTCTTTTGGGATGCTTCTGGCAACTGAATTACGGAAGAATTCCTGCGAAATTAACGTGTGTTTAGGTTCTTTGTGCAACAGCAAGTATCAATTAATTAGTATCGGTCGAACAATTGTTCATTAAGCCATAGATCCTCGTCTCTTATGGACACTCCTTGAAAAGAATAATAGCTTTTTTCGGTGAATCATAATAACGACTTTTCTGTAAAAGTTATTTGAATTAGCCAAGCCTTTTAGTCGAGTTCCTGAAACACTCAAAAGATAAAAACTCCTATTTAGGGTTAATTAAATGTATACCTGTAAATGACCGAATGGATAGTAAACAATATATGAGATTGCCTTATAAAAGAATGGCGTCATTTAGCTTGACTATATACTTCCACGCAATTCTGGTCAAATGTACTTTGTATAAATATGCGCCACGTATTATCTGAGTTAACTTTGGAAATCTATGCTTGAAATATACCTAACAGACGTGTATGATTACTTGGGTCAGAAGCTTGTAACTATACTACCGCCAAAAAATCTTCACGATCTCTTATTCTTTTTCGTTTGTAATAAAACCCAAACATCTCACACAAATTGGGAAAGTCCGATCTTATCAAAAAGTGAAGATTCTTTTTATAATCCAGAGAATTGTCGTTTGAACATTGATTCTGTATTTAGGATGGCTATATATTAAGGATAAGTGGATTCCTTTTTCTGGACAAATTTGGACTAAATAGAAGGAGCTAGCATGCCATTGGTAATGCTACAAAATCACGTAGTCAGTAGTTAGGATGCAAGCCTTACCCACCAGGTTGAGACTTGTTGACATTTCGCATTAAATTCGTATTTTTCTGTGAACATTTCAAAGCTTCTATTCAAATTTGTTAGTTTCTACGAAGAGGTTAAGTACGTCACGTTAAGTACATACACTTCCAGTTGGCGGATCTGGTCTTATGGAGACTGTGCACACGAAAGACCTGTATCAATGCATCATTATTGCGTATCGAAGGATTAGCTACAAAGCGTTTTGTAAACTCACGTATAAGGTGAGATTTAAATGATTTCAGGATAAAATTTCTCAATCGATAATTGTTCATTAAGGTATCGCTCCTCTGCTGTTGTGTGGTTGTCGGCACTCCTAAAAATTCAAATGGGATTTTTTTCAAGTGATTCAGCTGACTGGGGGGCTTGTACGCTAACTACTGAGCATTTTGACGTCCCACAAGAATTTTATAGTGATTTCAAAGATTAGATGAGCAGACCTTAACGAGTGTGCTTCTAAATTATATGTAAATTAGGTGAAATGTGATGAGGTCAGTGACATATGTGCCGTTCGTTCTTGTTTCACCAAAATTTTGAGATTGTGCTGGTTCACTGTTTCATATAACAGTCTACTGTACGCACAGCTGCGAACTTGACATATACTTTGTGTTGTGTGTTTTCTTTAATTAATTTTTTACCTTTCCCTAGACCAACACCTTTATTTTTAGTACGGTATCTCCCAACAGCAAAGGTGACAGTAATTAGCCGATAGGAAACATCATAGACAAACATTTTGTATTGGTTGTGTGTCGCCATCTCGTGCCGTTGAAACCTGCCGCTATAGCACTGCGAAACGGCACCTTGACCAATACACATATGTATTTCTTCCCGTGCCACTAACAGTGGGAAAAAATAATTTAAAACAATGGAGTATCAAAATTAGACAGCATAAAGTGCCATCCATTACCAGAATCGACCACTACGAAAGTGAAAACATCAAGTTGTCTGTTGGTACTGTATGCCATTTCCCATTGCCAGCCGGGTCACCGCTATGTTTGTTGTACACCGAGACCAAGCAAAAATCTTGCTGAAGAGTTGTCAAATAACACGAAACATGTGTTCATGGTTGGCCGTCGGTCGTCAGGCAAACGGAAGCTATATTACTAGTTTGCGCGATGTCGAGTAGACCGTAACTACTATAGGACCGGCGGCTATATTGCTACAATGGAATATGTCACAAATAATTCGGGAATTTATGCATATGTTGACAGATGCAAATTCGAGAAGTTATACCATACAACTTTGAGCATCCGAATTTGGTACAGCGACCGCCTAGGAGGTACAAACTGGTCTGTGGTGCATCATTCAATCACACAATTTGGAAGTGGGGTATCCGAAATGGACACTTCTATAGGGCGATGAACGAGTACAGAAGAGCAAATTTCTGATCAGAAAGATATCCCCAGATACTGCTATAAAGTATCTTCGGATGTGGATGCCCCAACATAAAAACATTTGTTTATATGACTTTGGTTTAAGCCTTTTTCTTGTCATAAACTAATCACCTTATTCGAAACCAAAAGTTGTAAATTCAATCTAAATAAGCTTTTGTATATCATAATTAAAGCACGGAAGGCGATGATTCAGATGCCTCTAAATGCATCCGCCAAATGCTTTCTAAAACTGGCACTCTTAGTTTCCCAACTAACCTTTCTACAGAGACTTACTTTTTTTGTATGAAAGTGGTGTGTTTTTTATGAATACTGCGACCAAACCAACATCATAAAAATGATTGCAAAAATCCCGTCAAATATGGATCATTTTCAAATTGCTTACATCTACTTTAAAAACAAGGAGACAGCTGGCGTAATTGGCTTGCAGTATAATGTAATGCTTAGATTATAAAATCAAAAAGGCGAAAAGTAAATAAGAATATCAGAATACTCTTACCCTTTGTATAAACTGGCGCAGATAGACAGTGAAAAAAATAGATCTGTAAGAATAGGGATAAAACCAGCATGACACATAATCTGTGTCACATGACTTTATACTTCATTCATATTCCATAGTTATTGCTGCATAAAAACACACCCATTAACAACTTAATAATGGTACTTTAACATATGACGCAATGCAGGGGTTGCTTACAAAAAGTAAATTGGCAATTTATATTAAAATTTAACTGTAACTTTCTAATTACTTGCGTTTTATATTTTCATTTGGTTCTGTCGCCTGTGGTTAGGCTACACTGTTGCCGTCATAGCTATTGAGTACGCTACCAGTATAATATACAGTGCTTTTCAAAAAGGTGTCCCCCTACTTTTTAGTTTAGTTTAAGCTAGCATGCTGACATTTGAGGTGATTAAATTATTGCATAGTATCTTTCGCCTAAAAGTGCATCGTTTAATCAAGTTTTAGATTTTTGTCTAACATTTTGGGAAAGGCCTGCAGTGCAAATTGATTGCAACTATATTGGAACAAGAATATTTGATCTTAAAAATGGCTAATTCAATCGAAATCAAACATGAATACATTTTTTCAGCCAAGACAATCAATATCGTTTCTGATTTATTAATATTAGCAGCACTCCGCTAGGGCTAATCGTTTTCCAAGGACACTATCAAGTGAGGCCCCATTTGCTTGATAAGCTATAAATGCTGCATTAAATTGTAGAGAGTCTTTCGAAGGTTATTCGGAAAACCCGATTTCCCGTAGGGACCTGCATCCCAGTAGGACATTTTGTATGGGAACTGGTGGAATTATCCTTTTGTCTTCTAGATGCCTTCAAGAGATTGTAATTTTTTGTCACCTTGTACATACGTTAGATTTACAAATCCACGCTATCCCATCATTCGGAGCTAGTATAGTTAATTATGCATGTAGGGAGTAAAGTAAGTGCTCATGGTACGCATTGTGAAATTACCATTTACGCCCGGCCTACATGTAAAGCTTTGTCAGCAACCGGCTACATGGTAAGTGAACATAAAATTCTGTATCAAAAGTTATGGCCTAGAAACAAATAGATACGGTCAGTTTTTCTGATCGCCATTAAGTTACTTTTCTGCGCTAAAAGCGTATGAAATTTTGCGGGATGAAAAGTGGTACATAACGCTAGGAAAACCTAATCATACGCTTAGCGGTCGGTGACATGAAATTTGGGGCAATCTCCAACCATCCTAAATGTATATTATATATCACGTATACACCTTCCAGCAAAAACAAGACAGCCATAAAAAACTCCGAAGTGTCAGCTATAGCTTTTGACGTCCTTGCTTCTTTTGTAACAAATTCAAGGAATTTGTAAGACTAAAAATACTACAGTCTCGCGAATATTTCGTCCTTTTTCATCTTTGTCAGTCGTGAATGCGCTTTAAATAAACCTATCCAAATTAATTGCAGCAAATGAAGAATTTAAATGGTTGCCACTAAATGTGTCAGCCTGTTAAACTCGTCAAGAGCTAACTTTTCCGATGGATTAATGCTCTGTGAAAATATCATACAGTGCTTGTAGATGTTTTTGACGGTTAAAAAAGGCAAAATCAAGTATGAATATGCAAAATGTTAAGATCGCCATTAAAGAAATTACACGAATGTCAGTGCACTTCAAGAATTGACTGCTCAATTTCATTAGGTTTACCTGGCTGATTTTTGCCCATAGTCCGACAAGGGTTTCATGAAAGATTTGATTTGTCCAAGCTCGTCATCCACTACGTAATAATTTTAGCGTGTGTAATCTTCAAACCGTGCTTGTCACTCATCACTTAGTAAATGAAGTGTAAGTTCAATCTTCATGATGAAAAACCACCACAACGATGAAAATATGCAAGAATCGTAGCGAGTGTTTGCTGATGCAAGAACAAGTATAGCAGATATTACAAATGTGTCGGTAGTCATTCTCAAGTGCTCCAGCGTTGGTATTGACATTAGAATTGATTAATAATAGGCTGAAATTTGGCACGGTTATAGTTGATAGTAGTATGGATAGAAAGCAGTCAACACCCCACCTGAAGCAGTTTTATAAATATTACCATTTAAATGTAAATTATTAACTTTTGATTACACCTCGACAGGTATAAGAATTTTGCAGAAATATGAACCGATAGGATGGAATATAAAACATAACTCGGGGAAAAATAAAATAATTCACGGTGATAACTCTCATGTCTACTTATACAGTGCTTTTCTTTAATGTCCCCCTCCCCTTTGATTCTTTGAACGGATCAATTCAAAAATTAAAACTTGAGGTAATGATGGATAGAGTAAAATTGACAGATGAAAATGTCAAGATGGCCACTGGGCGATATTTCTACAAATATTTGTTATTCTCAGCCGTATATCCAATATTGAAGCAGGTTCAGGTTCGTACACCTTTTACTTCAAATAGTCCCATAAAAAAGTCTTAAGGTGTCAAATCTGGCCAACGAGCTGGCCATTCCACAGGACCTCGACGGCCAATCCAACGACCGGGGAGATTGGTATCTATATAATTCCTAACTTGTCTGCAGTAATAGTAGTGTGGTGGAGCACCATATTGCTGGAATACAATATAAGTATCGAATTCATTAGGATTCGCTTCGGCGATTTTGGTGATTAGCGGGTCAATAGTATTTTCCAGCATATGCAAATACAGTTCCCCGGTTAAAGTTTGTTCGATGAATAGAGGCCCCACAATATGATTTCCCAATATCCCAGCCCAAACGTTAATTTTTTGTGGGCATTGTGTATGAGTTTCCCGGAAGACGTGAGGATTGGTGTCACTCCAATAACGACAATTTTGTCTATGCACATTACCGTTGAGAAAAAATGTACATTCATCACTAAAACAAATATTTTGGATACAGGTAGGATACCGTGCAATGGTTTCCGTCATATTATCGCAGAATTCTGTTCTTCGATCAGGGTCATATTCAGTTAGCTGATGCCCCATTTGAATTTTGTATGGGTGATACTTATTCTTTTGCAAAGGTCTTCATACAGTAGAAGGGCAACTCACATACATTCACGATGGAGAAAGTAGACTGTTGGGGAGTTACTATGATCTCACCAATTGTTTGAACTTGCTTTTCTTCCGGGATGGTTATTTATACTACCAATATCTGTAAATTTAGATACAAGTTGCCTTTGAATATTTTCTACAGATAGGACGATTCGGGAAACGATCATTAAAAATCCTTTCGGTCTCGTGAAAGTTACGCGTCGCACCATAAATAAAAATCGCTTCAATTTTTTCTTCCAATGGACGGGAATTGACCATTTTAAAAATAGTTCAAACAGTATCTACTACTAAAACCGAAAACTAATAACAATCTTTTAACTGTACAATGAGGTTTGTTTTCGCACTAATATTCTTGTCACTGTCAACAAAAAATAACAAAACAAGTTTTTATTGCTGTTGCTGTGGATACGGTAGGGAATTACAATTATTTGTAGAGATATGCATGTCAGTGGGTTTGTGTTCAAGTCATTATTAATTGTACTACCATTTTGTAGTAGGTAAAGGTATTGACTTTATATTCTAGGGTTATAAGGTACTCGTCAGGAGCTTCAAAATGATGTGCCACAAGACCCCCGTTTTCATATAATTTTTTTCCAAGATGGCGCCCAGCGGCCATATTGACATTTTCATCTGTCAACTTTACTCTGAAATATGGTATCCACTCATCAATTTCATTACCTCAAGTTTTAATTTTTGGATTTAATCCGTTCAAAAAATCAAAAGGGAGGGGGACATTAAAGAAAAGCGCTGTATATTGGATAGTGACTAGTTTCCAATCAAGTGTTTATTAACTATGTCGGAGTCATAGCGATATACACATATTCATGATGACAAGGTTGATTAGTTTTTACTGCCTTTTTCTAAGTTTTAACATTTCTTTAACGATGGAACTGGAACATCTACCAGCTGTTGGATAAAAAACAGGCTAAATGGCTCTATACTATTATGTAACCAGAATCGAATCTAATTTCTCTTTATAGATGGAAAGGTATGCATATTTTTGCATAAATCTTATACTACCAGTACTAAAAGTTTTAGTCAACGTCACGGATTTTCAAGGCACTTCACGAACCATTTTCTATATCTAAATTTAAACGGCATTTTAGATGCAATAACCAACTGTTACAACAAATACCGTATTACAAAGACAACAAACCAAAGACCGGTAATAGAGGAGCCAAAATTAGCCTTAGTCTAGAAAGAATAACTTAAAAGAGCTCGACCAAATAATTCGTGTAATTCAGAAAAATGGTACAGTTATTCCTTAGGGAGTCCAGATGAACATATTAAATGTTCCCGATTGTGGGAAGTGAGCCGGCTGTCAGGGAGGGGAAAAACGTCCCTATTTTAAGATTTTCCTGAACTATTGATAGTATCTTTATAATCCTTCCTACATGAATAATCTACATTGAATTGACAACCAATTATAAATATTTTTTACTGCAGGATTAGCTACAGGGTATTTTAACTTATCAAAATAAAGCTTTCGCAGGTTTTAAATCACAAAAAGACTGACTGCAACAAGGGAAAAAATCACTTTCAATTGTACACCTCAATTGTCAAAACCTATCTAGTCGATTGGTTAGCTAAATTTGTAAGGCAGAAGAAAATGATTTCACTTAAATAAAATGTTTACAGGACACGTATTAACTCATCCAGCCTTACATCTTATCTTCAGTAATGTAAATCACAGTAATAACTGTAAGCAAAATCATGATTACTTTGTTTATAATAAATTTGATTAATGCGTAAACACCTTCAGCTGATTGCATTCACGCGCAAAATCCAAAAGTGGCATTTATAACCAGTCGAATCATACACAATATGTTTACTTATGAGATTCAATATCTCCAATCATACATTAGAGTCACTAACAGTCCAGGAAATGAGTGTGTGTTATGTCAACCATTCATTATATGGCTATGATCCTGAGGTTATAATAGGTATCTCAATATATGTATTTTATAATTATAAACAACGTCTTCTTGTCATCTTCCAAGTTACCAAAC